GTCGCTTGTGTGTATTCTGTCACTGACAATCGCGACTGTGCTCGTCATCCCTTCGGATATACGTGGATCCACTCACATGCACTCGGCGCGCACATATGAAGAGCTCCAGGTCGCCTTTACTACGATCTCCTTTACTCTCTCTTCATTTATTTTTAACTAATCCCGATCGCGCTACGTAATCTCGTACTTTCACCGAATCGCACCATTGACGTCGTGTCGTGTCGATAAAAATAGTCGATGACGCCTAGGAAGAGAGATACAGGGCGGTGCCGTCGTCATCGAGCTTTCATCTAACATTCCTCCGACTAACATTCGTATGTGACAGAAGCGGATTTGGCGAAGCCGGAACGGAAATCGGATTGTCCCCGGAGTCGTCCGATGATGTGCAATTTTCTCTCTCCCTCTCTCTTCTTTGCCCCCCCCCCTCTCTCTCTCTCTCTCTCTCTCTCTCTCTTGAGGGCGATCGATTCCTCCGGTTTTCATTCATTCCGTATGTACGAGTAAGTAGCGCACGTCGGGCTAAACTTCGCGCCAACAAAGCTTGGGAGACAAAGGGAGGGACAGACGGACGAACGAACGGACGGGACCGACGGATGGACAGAGGAACGGAGGGACGGGATATCGGTGTTCTGAGTCGCTGAACAGGACGTGCGTTGTTCTCTCTTTCTCTCCCTCCCTTCCTCTCTCTCTCTTTCTCTCTCTCTCTCTCCCACCCTCTCCCTGAATAGTTGACAGCCGCACGTTGACATTGGCGTACGTGTGCGCGTGCATATGCACGTGGGCGCACAGGTGTGCGTTATCGAGCGCGGGGTTCGCACGTGTGCGCCACGTCGCCGCTTTATTGCGAGCGCGCGCGAACTTTTTGGCGAGGCTTAACGCGACGAGTCGCAGCTTTGTTCGCGTCGCTTTAATCGTCCTCCTCGTGGAGGACGATCTTTCTTTCTTTCTTTCTTTGTCTTTCTTTTTTCGTTTCCTTTGCGCACTTTGGCCATTGCACACAAAATGGCATGGCTGCATGTGCATTGCATAACATCGTCTCGACCGATGTTCTGCAAGTGAATATGGCTTTTTTCTAAATATTCATGCAGTTATGCATATTTTGTGTGCGATAGCCCTTAATCGTGGACAGAGAGATGATTGTTATTTGTTCGTGAAAGCTGCCGAATCGGATTTCGATCTCGCGAGATGCGTGGACTGTTATTTGTGAGTCATCTGAAATTGTGCGAAACGGATTTATGAGTCATCTCGCGGATGATTCGAAGTGGATTCTATGTCCGGTATTCATAGTCAGATCTTATATTTAAGACCGTCTTAAGTTTATCTTCAGATGATGAACGGATCATTTCATTGGCTACGGAATATCTGAAGATGAACTTAAGACAGTCTTAAAAATAAGACCCGAACTATGAATACCAGCATATGAATCATCGTCTCAAGAGGGTCTGTGAACCTTTGCGAAACCGCCAAAACGCTGGATTTGCGAGCGCCTCTTTCACGAATCTTTCTCAGCAACTTTCGCTCACGAATCGGTGATCTTTGGCGACGAATAATTATAATAATTAACACGTTGAGGATTTAGTTGACAAAATAAAAATTTGGTTGAAATGAGATCAACCAAATGTTTGATAATTACAATAAAAAAATTTAATTTCCGCTATTTTGTTTTGTTTAGTGACTAAATAAATATATTATTGAGAAAGTAAAGCAAAATAGCGGCAATAAAATTGTTTGGTTATAATTAATTTCTCTAAGAGAAATTTTATACCAAATATTTGATCGGTCCTATTTTAACAAAATTTTGGTTCCGTCAACCAAATTTTTTTCCAGTTAGGGTTAATGATATACGGTGAAGGATACACACGCGTCTCGAATTACATTTATTTACCATATCATCAATAACTCAATTATTATTTGAGCTGTCATACAATCAACGAAAATCAATACGGCGGACAACATATTATTTCGTTCGCGAAATTTCATAGAGATAAAATAACACGATGTACGCGCAACACTATACGTAAAAAACAAGAAGAAAAAAAAACTCTCTGTGTTCTCATTAACCTCGTTTTATTTACTCGAATTAGTTTCACATCGTCCGAGCCAATGTTCGAGCGTTTTACATTGGACAGGTAATTTCCGGCGCGTACACATCCATGTTTAATGCATAAACAGCCGGCGTCGTACGCGCACAGGTGCGCGCGACTTTCGCACCGTTGCTTCTCTCAGACTCGACCTGACATGCAATTACTAATGCAGCGCAAATGCATTAGCGCGGTCAGTGTAGTTAGACGGCGGTCGGGAGTTTACCTTCGCTGTGTCGCTAAGGATTATTTACAAGTCGGTCAGGCTGCTCATTCAATTTCCGGCCGCGGCCAATTGCGTTCCTCGACGGCGCGACGGAGTTACTGACAATTCGCGGCTTGAGGCCATTACTCTGATGGCTATCCATAGACCTATAGAATAGACGCCATTGAAGGTTTGAAGCTAAGATCCATGGACAGAGATATATTGGTAGTACTCTCTCTGTCACACAGTATCGTAAATGGGAACGATGTAGAGAGAACAGAAGAGTGAGAGTAGACATAGTGAAAGAAAGAGAAAAATAATGTGTGTGCGTGTGAGAGAGAAGACATATAGGGCTGATTGTTCCAACTTCTTGGTAAGTTACTTGACAGTTAAATCATGTGTCTGTCTCTGTGCAATTTGAAGAAAAAACGAAGGCAGACATATGATTTAACTGTCAGATAGCTTACCAAGAAGTTGGAATAATCGGCCCATAATCATGAATGCGGCCCGAAATGCACTCACATTACTACTAGCGTGCTCACAAAAATATTTAATGTTACATGCTTGAGTCAAAATTTTAATCATACTCTTTCAGCCTTACTATTTCATTCAACCTATTTTGATATTCTGAAGCTCATAATACAATCTATTTTGACGCTAAAGAAAGTGAAAAGGGAAATTTCGGACACTATCAGAGTCAAAGTAGGAATAAATTGTACCATTAGAATTGAAACTATTTTGCTTGCTAATTTAGCACCTACAGTTTTGTAGGATTCAAGATTTAACATAGGACCAAAATTTCGACTCAAATGTATTATACTTTTTTTAGTACTGTCAGTATTTCGGGTCGTAGTTTTCCTCTTTTCTTCTCCCTACCGACTGCACGATTAGACAAAGAAAACATCACTATCTCTATTGCCCTCTCATTCTAAGTTGGTTTCAGCCTTCCAACGGAAATGCTCAGTCTGTTCTATATATCTATCAGCCATCTCATTCTTAACCATGCGAATATCCGTACCTATTTAGGGCCACACAGTGCTGATCGTTGTGGCAAATGTGGAGCCATCGTTGTTTGGATCGTGCGCCGGCAAATGTTTGCCCAGCGAGATTTGTAGTTTAGCTGATAAATCGTCTGCTGCCGGAGCTCACTCGTAGAAAAGATCTTTTGGAAAAGGAGGGATGATTGATAAACCTCCTTTCTCCGTATGAATTATTTATGATTATGTATGATCATATATATGATTATATCGCCAAAATTCATATTTTCATTTATAACTCATTTATAATTATATATATATATATATATATATATATATATATTATAAATTCATATTTTTATTTATAACTCATTTATAATTATATATATATATATATATATATAATATTTATATATATATAATTTATATATAATTATATATAATTTTATATAATGATATATAATCATTTTTTCTGCGATCGAATTTACGTGTTTTATCCTTTCGACGAAAAGCAGCGCAAACCTATACTTTTCTGGTAAAAATTTCCAAGCAATATTTATTTACGAAATAAGGATAGGTCCCGTTTTTTGTGTACACAGAAAAGATATTTAATAAACGATAATCCGTGATATATATTCTTATTGCTCGCGTTTGCGAAAGATATAACCCGGTCGGTCGCTCTAAATGGGTTTACGTAGCACGTGCGGTCATGCTGGTGCGTTATCCCTTTGAGAGGGGAGGAAGGGAAGGGAGAAAGCTACGGAATCTATTTCATATTTCACGAGAATCGCTTCATTAGCCGGGAGATGAGATTCTGCTGAGAATTCCGACCGTTCCATCCGCGCGTGTCCCTCTTGCCAATCTAGAACGGGTATCAAAACGGTGCCCGCTTAAAGTGTGATATTAGCAATATCGCTGGCGGGGTTAGCGCGCCGTTGCAAAGGGCGCAACAACTTTCGAAATATCCGAGATGCGTTTTAAATATCGACGGGAACAGATATGCAGAAATAAATACGGTCGATCAATGCGTGGGCGCGCGTGACGCGTCTCCTATGAATACTGAACAGGAGGCGTGAATTATGAAATGTAAAATATGGAATCTCGACAGGGAATTCAAAGTTTTAAAGATACACGTTGACGATTTTTTTTAGCGACGTGCCTGGGAAATTTTTTTCGCTTTCAGCGCTCGTCGCTCAACTCGTGTGAATCATCATTACTTTTATCAATAAATTACGTGAGATTTGATCCTACAAATATAATTTTACTTAATGGAACAGTAATTTTAGCTGCAAAAATATGTAGAAATAAATATGGTCAATTGATGCGTGGGCGTGTGTGCCGCGCCTCGATGAATATCAAATAGAAGGCGCGAATTGTAAAATGTAAAATATGGAATCTCGATGGAATTCAGAGTTTCGCAGATAAACATCGATGATTTCTTAACGGTGTATCTGTAAAGTTTTTTGTCGCTCTTATTATTCAATATTGTTCAATTCATGCAGATCATAATTATTTTTCGAATAATTTATGTCAGATTTAATTTTACAAATATGTGATTTCACTTAATACTCGAAAAGCAAGTTTTAGAATGGCATGCTGTTCTCTTGCTTTTCTCTTTTCTTATTGTTCCTACATTGGTTTTGATCTTTATTATTAAATTTTGCGCGATCTTAGCCGCGATAATTTACGGTCACCACTGTCAACACGACGTTTTGACGACTGTTTTATGTGTGATAGGTGTCGTCAACAGAGGAGATTCATTCCGGAGAAGGAGATCGAGATCGAATTCCTTAGCGCCGGCCGAGCAGGAGAACGAGGTGCGGCGAGCGCCGCCCAAGGAAGTCGTCTCGCACAACGTGGCCATGCTGGGCTCCAGGGGAGTTGGAAAAACGGCTCTTATCAGCCAGTTTATGACCAGCGAGTGTATAAACGCCTACGACAGACAAAGAGGTAAGTAAATGTTGTCTCCGCAGTTCGCGATCGACGCGATAAGACCGCGAACAGGATGCAGAGACGAAGAACAGGACTTCCTGCAGGATATTTTATATGTACCTTTTCCTTGTCCTTGATTAAGTGACATTTTCAGGATACTCCAACGGACATTATCACGATCCATTTCTGACAGGTGGATCTTCGTATGCAAAACATGAAAATCTCTCTTTCGCCATTATACTTGATGAAATTAATCTTTTTTCTGAATAACAAGAAAATATTATCGCGGAAATTCTTTTATGTATGGACTTAAGAGAATTCTCTCTAACACCAAGAGGAAAATATTTTTTAAGCACAATATTTCTCAAGTTAGAGGAATTTTGTTTTTTATCTACAGTAAAAATCTTGCTTTTAATAGAAATTTTTTCTAATAAGAGAATATTTTGAATCAAGTAAACGTATCGTCCTCTTGATTCAAAATGGAATAATATATCCTAGCAGATTTCTCAAAAGAAATAAAAAATAATAATGTCTAGTAGATTCTCGATTAATATTTTGCTTTTCGCTAGAAAAGGAATGTTTTTTCGGTAAGAGTTTTCACTTAGAATATGAGATTAGCAGGAGGCAGCATCTTCCAACTTCTTTAAGACGTTAGAATGTACTATTATATTTTTGGTTTTAGAAGAATTCTTTTGGAGTCAGATATGAGAGAATTTCTACGAAAAATAAGATTATATATTTTTTTTTATAAAAACGTTTCTTCAAGCCGCTGGGTTGAATGAGTGAGAAGTTAAATTTATTATTTGTCGTTAACTTTCACAAATTAAAACTTAGAACCGCGGTTGGACAACAAAGTCTCGTTCTTCATCACGACGTGTTTACTTCGTGTTGAACGAAAAATTGTCCGTCTCGACAGAATGCGTTGACTGAAGTGCTGTTTACTTCGACAAAATTCTCGATGTTAGTCACCGTGACACCTCGACCTGAACGTCGGAGAGCACCTAAGAAAGTCGTTACTCAACGGATCTCTGTCACGATGAGATTGATTTCTAAGCAGCACAGAGAGTCACGAGAAAATCGCAGAAATCTCAGGCGTACCTCACGGACGGGGCTGCTCCTCCTAGTTATAATCGGACTTCCGACTTGGGTCGCACCTGAGCCTGCTAAATAAACGAAGATGTAATGCGATAAGGAGATCCGCAAATGTAATCTGCCTTTCGGAAGCGACGGGGATTAACCCGAGAATAATAGGGTGGGCTATGAATGTACCTTAAGCAATACATTTTGCTTAATAACATTTGTAATGTTGATAAGTGTGTGGCTCTAAATTCTCAGTAACTTTCAGTTGAATTTTCGTCTTGGCTCTTGTGAGATCCTTCTTCCATCTCGCGGGCTCCCGCAGGTCGCAAATATATGTGACAGCAGCTCCGTTTTATATTTTGATATATTCGTAACTACAAAGCTTCAACATTCATGTGGATCTCTTGTGATCATTTAGCCATTGTAATTTTTGCGATTGTCACTGATCAACTTTTGTACAGTCTGACATTCACTTTTGTCACTTTTATTTTCAAAGAAGAGAAGAAAATTTACAAGATTGAAAATTCGAATTTTGTGATGTTTTTACTAATATTGTATTTATTTATTATAAAAGTAGATATACAAAGATAGACTATACAAATTTATAGACTATACTAACTTATAGATTATATAAAGTATTCTTGTGCATTATTACAATATATGAAAAGTAGAAAATTATTATTATGCAGAATATAGCTAGTACTGAAAATAATGCAACATATCAAAGGGTTATTTCTCCGAAACATTTTGATTTCTCCAAAATGGTTTATTGGAAAATTATGAAAAAAATCAGAATTCATCTTTACATTTTTAGAAACAATACTGAGTAGAGAAAAAAATTGTTCTTACGAATAAAATTAATTCGAGGTTGAAAGGGTTAATGTCAAAGTAGAGCTTTATTATTGTTGGGTTAAATCGCGATGGAATGTTTCATCGCGCGTGTCGCTTTCACGATCCGTGAGCGAGTGATCCACATGTCTTTCCGGCTGGCCCGCTTACATCGCACGCGAATTTACGCCCCACGGTCTCCTGTGTATTTCGATTGCGCGCCCGTTGAAAGACGACGCGTCGAGCTTCATTCCGAGATAAAACGTGGTTTCCGGGATCCCTCCGGGATACGCACTGCCGCCGTTGAATGAGTCAAATTGAGCGATTGAAGTTAAGTTAATACCTTCGAATCCAATCTCTGTCGCTTTACGACCCGTCCACTAACAAAAGGGGACGAGATTATTCCACGTTCGACGTGGACGGTTCTTCTGCTTCGCGTTCCCCCGAGTCGACGTTTCTTCTTGGCGATTGTGTCTTACGATCTCTTAATCTTTATTATCGATAAGGTGACCAGATGTTTTTCTGATACTTCCCTCTTGGTTCTGTTTTTCCCGGGACAGTCTTGATTTTTTACTCTTCGTCCCGAATGCTATCCGGGACGCCGATTTGTCCCGAATTCAGCCAAGTTGTCCCGGTTTATTTATGGAGAATTTTTCAGATGCTTCTGACAAAGAAAGACCTTCTCAAGAAAATTCACAGCTCTGGTAAATATAGTAGTCTCGCTTCTTCTTTTTCATTTCGAGTAAGAATAACAATAATTTTATCTTAGCAATAGTTTTTATTTCTACTATATGTAGCAGGCCTTCATTGTTAAATTATTTTTCGTGTATTTATGACATATAAGTATTATATATACAAAGAAATTATTCGATAAAAAATTAACACTCGGACATTTCCGATCAAAATACTGATAAATTTTTATATTCGATCAGGATATCCGATTACATTTAATCGAATACTTCCAATCGTAATGACATTTCGTCAGATAAAAGAACCGATTAAAAAATTATGAACCGATATTTTTTATCGGATATTTCCCTGATCGGATATAAAAATTCATTGGTATTTTGATCGGAAATATTCGTTTGCTAATTTCTTATCGAATAATTTCTTTCAGTGTATATTTTTGAAGAGTTCTAGATTTAGAGCTGGGAAATTTAGTTACCGTAAGATGGGGTTACTTTGTGACTGTAGGGGTGATAATTATCACTATTGACCAATATTCACTGTGTCACAAAGTAACCCCTACAGTCACAAAGTAACCCCATCTTACGGTACCTTATTACCGAATATCTGAACTTCTTGTTCCGAAGTAAAATCTTGTTAAAATAGAATTCAGTCGGAATTAAGCGAATAGTAAGACTTCGTAATTTATTAGGTCGGTGAAAGGGATTCGGTATTTTCATATTAAAAATTCTCGTCGGAAGTTTGCGTATTAAGGCTTCTAGACTCGGCCATCTTGGTTAATGTCAGCGAAAAAATATATGTCGTAAAATTAATATGACAAAACAGTAAGAATGATTACGACAATTTCGTTTTTCTTCATTTGATGAACACGACAAAACTTTTGCACTTGTCTGCAGGTCAATTTAAGGAAATGTTTTTTTTCAGTATAGCTGAGCTCTACGTTTATGGAAGAACAGTCGTTCCGTCGATTTAACACGTCTGAAACGATCAATCTCGCGAAGGTGTCCCTCGAATGGTCGGCGAATTTTCGCGTTGTCACGCGATGCGTAAACCCTCCGCCCGGCGCGCAACGCAATTGTCGCATTGTCGCGGCGATCGATCTGAAACTCGCATTCGTTACTCGACGCAACAGCAAGTGTGATTTAACGGGACGTCAGCGTTTTATCGTGTCTGCGGCGCACAACCCGGCAGTTTTCAGCGTGTGCCGAGTCGAGCGAGAGATTCCTCGTCGCGCGAAAGCGAGCCGCTGCGTTGCATAAAAATGTTCGCCGCCCAATGTCGATTACCAAAGTGTCAGAGACGCCTCGCGTAATATAGAATTCGCGTGGGTATTTGGGTCGAGGACCCGTGCACCGTTTCGACTCGGCGGTGTGAATTATCGTCGCGATTCTGTCAACCAGCCTTCCATCCTCGCCACTGCCCGGCTGTTAAAACACAGACACGAAATTATTTTCGCGCCCGCTCGATCGCATTGATTTCTATCGTTACACTTTTTTTCCGCTAAATCCACGGGGGAAGTCGTCGTGACGCAAATGTATTTCAATTTATGTTGATGTTGTAAAGGTCTCCTGATCGAAGAGTGGATCTTGTTGAAGTTGCATGATTAAGAAAAGGGGAGAATTAAATTATTGTTTACAAGTTTAGTAGATTTACTTTGTGATAAAACTACGAAGAGAGTTTTGAAAAAGGGAATTCAATTATTGCTTATTAATTATTTGAATTTTGAATTTAGTAATTTGTCGTGGCGAAAAGTTTTATGAAAATAAAGTTGTAATATTTAACATGCGAGATTGAGGAGATCAGTTAAGAATAATCGATTTCGTGCTTCTCCGTTTGAAAAGAGTACCTTCAATTAATGCTGCAATTCTAAGCAAATATGTGAGTAAATCGTAAAATCGTAGCTTACGAAAAAAAAAAAACAAGAAAAATCGTAGATATTTACGAATTATCATATGATATACGGTCTGCACAGAATTGCAGATTTACTCATCATTCTTACGGGTCTTACGAAAACAAGTTACGCGTTTTACAATTTTGTCTAGAATTACAGTATTTCTTTCGCATTATTCACTATTTCGGATCGAAAAATGAATCTTGTTGAAATCGCACGATTGTACAAAGAAAGAAGTGACTTGTTGTTTAAGAATCTGAATCTGAATTTGAAATTTAATAGTTTTCCGTAACAACACTAAGAGAACAATTTTGGAAGAAGAAATTGAGTTTATTAGTTACTTGTATTCTAAATTTAACGATTTGTGATAGTGGATTTTTATGAAAGAGAAAATAATATGAGACACACGAAGCTTGAGAAGATTAATCAGGAATAATTACTTTCGCGCTTCTTTCTTTTTGAAACGAGTACCTTCAATTATCGAAATTAATCGAACACTTCCATCAACCACGTTTCCACGGTGTATCCCTTC